ACTCTCCATCTCTTTCTCTTTCATAGAGTACCTATGCCTGTCTTCTGTTCCTCCACATGTTTACAGAAACTTGCGTAGCTCCTTTCACGTTGGGCCTCCGTGGTGAATGAGGGATCAAGGACTATATGTTAGCCGTGTAGCAAATGTTTAAAAAATGAGAGTGTATCACAGTGTAAATATGAGGATAAAATGTAGGAGTGATTGGGCAATCTTATTACAGTCAAGTGATATATACCCACAGAGAATTCTCAGCTGAGCTGAGACACCAAATGAATGTGGTTTGGAAAGTAGTCATCAGAAAAAGAGCTGGAGGTAGGACCGTTTAGGAAGCATGAGCATATGGGACGTTTCAGAGGCAAGAAGACTGAAGGGGAATTAAATACTCTCCTAACCTACATACGGGGATGGGGGGAGGCCCAGGAGAGGGCCCTTCTCCCCTCCAGTGGGTGTATAACAAAGAGAGCCCCATGTGGGGGCTGTTTAGGGAAGATTCTCTACCAACAAAAGTTATATATGAGGCTGAGTTACCAAGGGAGACGGTGGGCTCGCTTTCTCTAGAGAGCCTTAAAAATCGGACAGACTCACTGTGTCTTCACACCCTGATTCTGCAGGAAGGAATCGTTTCTAACGTATCAAGGACACAATAATAATAATTACATTTCTAACCTTTGTCCTGTTCTCTAAATCTTTATAACCTGAATAGGAAATCTGATTAGGATACTCACCAGTACTCACCAGTACTCACCCCCATGTAATGGCTTTTGACTAAGTGAGGTTTTATTTTTATGTTTAACATATTACGTACCAGTAGTAAAGCACAGCAGTTAAGACATAGGCACAGGAGCCAGACTTGACTTAAATCCTGGCTCTGCCACTTCCTGGCTGTGGGGCCCTGGGTAACATGCAACTTCTATGTGCCTCAGTTTTCCCAACTGTAAGTAGGGATGTTGTCTCACCTGTTATAGGATTGTCATTTTTACATGCAGAGACCTTAGAGGAGTACTTGATATATGGTAACTGAGGAAAACTTATTATTTTTTAACTAAAACATATGATGCTGAATCTTTGTTCATACCATGTATTTCTCAAAAGTGTGTGTTTGCTGCCCAGAGGCTATGTTGCTTGTTGAGGGAGCAGTTTTGCTGATACACTGACTCCTTCGAGCCACCAGGTTACTATCAAGTGATAACCTGGCTGCTTAGCTAGCAGAGTTCCTCGCTGCACAGCTGTCCTGAAGTCCCGCACCACCAGCTGACTATACACGTGATCTTAGAGATCTCCTCCACACATTTTTACAGCTGCCTCCTTTCCAAGGATAAATGGCTCAGATATGATTCTTGGTAAAGAAATCTAGAAACTTCTATACATTTGGGTGTAGAATTGCTTCTATCACCAGGGTTGGTTAAAGGGACATTAACGTGAAGGTGGGTACTGCGTTTGACTTGGGGTATGTTAAATAGGCTTTTAATGAAAGTATTCGTAAAGCACTTTTTTTTTTGTCCCTAGGAATAATTCGGGTTTCACCCCAGCAGACACTGTGGCCATCATTTTCTGTTCTACACATAAGTCTCTCACTTTGGGTAAGTGATTCATAGACTCACAAACTAGTTTAACATTACCCTCAGATAGTTACATCTTATAAGTGTGAAATTCAAGCCGCTCTTCAAATTAAATGGAATGGGGTATCATCAACTGTTAAAACAGTAGCAAAGTGAGTATGGGTCATTGCTTTGAAATACCATTATGCTGTATAATTCAACCAATTTTGAAGGGCCTAAATTTTAAAATGTAAGATCTAGCTTAATTTGTAAGGTTTTAATTATTATAAAAGGTTTTCAATGTAGAGTGTTAATGTTAAAAACCAGGGGCAGGGGTGCACAGTGAGCAAACACTCAGCTTTGGAAGGCTCTAGAGTTGCCCCTAGAAGTTTGGAGCAAGGTGGAAATAATGTTATTTCTCTAATCATTTCAGAATGTTATGTTACTTCGATAAAGAAACACCGTATCGTTATTATTAACTCAATTTGATTAGCACCTAAAGTGAAATAAGTATTTATTTAATGGACAAAAAATAGACCAAGAAGGAAAAATGCTGTTTTCTACTCAGCTTTAGCCAGTTTAGTGGCATTATCCCAATAACGTTTTAGGCATCCAGAATCCATGTTTTCAGTCATTAAAAGCCATTAAGTAATCAGAAACTTTATTGAAATATACATCATTCACAGACTCCTTGGGCCAGTAGGCACACTGTGGTAAAAACTTGTAATAAAACTCCTGTACATTCTGGCATGTGAAGAGAATGGAGAATCATCACACGGCTGTACGTCTATTCATGTTAAAGTTTAGCCTGAAACTAGAAAGCAAAGACAGTTCATAATGTCTTTACTAACCCCCCACATATTTGTCTGACAGCATCTATTGTCAGTCTTGCCAAGTTTGGAAAGTGATTTAGAACTTGGACAAACTCTTTAAGGAGCAGTTGCTACCTAGGGCTTCAGCTAATTTGAATAAATTATATAGAGAGAGAGATATATATAGATATAGATATAGATATATATTGTTCATACATTGCAGTATATTTGGTAGGTTTTCTTTGTAATCATCATCAAATTGAAGTTGAAAGAGCTTTGAAAGCCTGATTTTGTGACTCCAGACAAATCACTCAACCTCCCTGAACCTCAGTTTTCTCATCTGTAAAATGGGGCAGAATAGTACTCATTTTGTAAGGTGACTGAAAAGATTAAAAATAAAATTCGTTAAATAACTAGCACAGTACTTATACACAGTTGGTAGTCAGTCCATGCCAGCATGTGTGTAAAATGCTATGGATTGAGTGAGATATCGCGCCAAAAGAGCACCTAGCTGATATTCTTTAAGCAGTAGCTATTGTATTATTTTTAACTATGTTCTGACTGTGTTACCATTCTCAAGGTTCCAGTCTATCTTGTAGATCTTCATGTAACAGGCATGGTTTAATTGTTGACCTCAAAGAAATCATCTTATACTTTTTCCTCATGTGATGTCTGGATTTCTGGGTCTCCTAAAAAGTAAGGGACTGTTATAAAGGTGGGGAGTCCAGAGGTGGGTGCCAGCAGACATACCAGAGTCCCGCCTCAGGGTCCAGTGAGCCCGTGTCGGAGCAGAGGCTGAGCCGTGGCTGCAGCAAACGCCTGTGAGCACATCTGCAGTGGGCTTTCAAACACAGCCCACCCCTGGGGGGTGGAGGTAGGGGATTGGTTTCTCCATGATGTTCTTCTGTTGTGGAGCTGGCTGCACTGAACAAAGAGCTCTGCCCAAAAGCACACTGCAGCACATCAGCATTCTCATCTTTTCTATAAGCAAAACACCTGTCCACTCCTCCTTTTCATTTTCTTTCCTTAATCCCAAAGCCATACTCTTTTGTTCTTGATACTTTCTGAAAGCTGATTTTCAGACAAACTGATAGGTGCTCTGAACACCAATCAGATGTAGCTGTTCTGTTAAAAAGGGTCTGGGTAACTTGGATTTTGTCGCTTTTATAGTGTTCTCTCATGAAACAGATACTTAGATTCTCCAGTACGATACTAGTGTAGTTCTCTAAGTAACCATGCAACGTAACTCCTTAGTTACTTCTGTAACATAGACTCAGTCTCTCTTGGAGCTATAAAGCCTCAAAGCTCGTCTTGACTCTTCCTCTGATACCTCCCCAGGGCTCAGATTCCTTAGCTCTTAGATTAGGGATGTTTAGTTCCAACGCAACTATTTTATTATGCCTTGATCCTACCTGGCTTTCCCCCTTGTGTCGGGAGCACCCTTATTTTCACATATAGCAAGGGGTGTTTGGATCCTATTGCTAGAATGACCTTGGTAAGTACTATAAATTTACTGTGTCGGTTTTCACAAGATCCAGTACATGTACCCCTCTCCTGATGACCCGACATCACTGGTACAGAGGATGTCACAATGGTGACCTAATGCAACTTCTATCTGCGTGGAAATGAAAGAATATCACACCAAGTGTGATCAATTCATATTTCAGAAAGGAGGAAATTTCAGATAATTTCACTTGGAGCTATACTTCCTCTCACACACAGATGAAATACAACAGACTATAGCTACTTGGTATTTAGAAAATATATATATCCTTTTGGCAATCACTGTCATAATATTCTTCTAGTGATTTTATACACACACACACACACACACACACACTTAACATCTCAGATAGAATACTTATGAAATGCCATTCATTGTTACATCTAGTATCTGTATTTATGAATAAATCATCTCAGGCTGAGTGGTACCCATGTAACTACAGAGCCAGACATGAAAGCTCTTGCTAGAGGAGCCTTCTGAATACTCCCTGGTACCTACGCTTTCAGTTTATTTTATTGTTCCTGTTTCCTCCCTGTCTCAGTCTCCTCCATGGACTTGCACCTACACACGTGCTGAATTTGATTCATTGCTTTTATTAGTGCGTTTGCCATTGATTGATTAGTCCTCCGTATTAGTACTTTTTCTATTGATTGATTGCAGATGAAGTGACTATTTGACCTTTAATTATGAGGCTTCCTATTGAAAATGACATTGAGCTATGGCTTCGCGTAATCCATCTGGAAAGCCTGACATGACGCCGCTCCCCGGAGTTCGTTCAGGAAGAGAGAGGGGCCCGCAGGAAGCGCAGAGCGATCCTGTGCTTCATCTAAGACAATACCACGGCTTGGCTGCTGCGCTCCTGCAGCTTCAGCTTAGGGCCGGAGATAACTTCATGTTTTGTGGAGACAGCGTCCCTTGCTGTGGGCTGCCCTAAAAGCCAGGAACTCTCCCAGAGTCACCTCTCACCTGACGCCGATGCTCGTATGGCAACGAGAAGCTGTTTCACACAGCAGACTGGGGAGCAGCTCGTGCCCCAGCTCACGTGGCCCCGTGCACAGTGGGTCAGTAGATGTCACCAGGAAAGAAATTTGACACCAGACACCCTGTGGAATCAGTGTTTTATTTATCTTTTTCTCTTGATTATTCAAATCACTTTGCTTACTAGAGTTCTAATAGACGTAGAAAGCTTTCTCACCAGACCGAGAGAGAATGTTTCATGACGTTTGAGATCCTTAAGATAAGTGTATGTTTGTATTAGTTTTTCATGTTTTTAAATGGCAAAGTGAGAGCATGTGCTCTGAGAACATGTTAGCTGACTATGGGCGGTCATCTGTGAGATTCCCGCTTGTTTCTTATTTTCGAAAGCATTCCTCAATTGGAAGAACGCTGTGTAAATGTGAAATCAGGTGCCATGGTCAACGCTGATTAAAAGTGCACTATGTGTCTCACCATCTATAGACTCTTGTGTGCACAGGTGATCAAGCAGCTATTCCTCACAACATCTGTGCTTCATCATGGGCATGAGTCGGTAGCTGAGCTGTGACCAGAAACTACACATTAAGCAAAAAGAATATAGCTTTTCCGTAGATGTCGGATTCTGAAAAGAGTAGAAAGAACCACAGACCTGAGTCTAGTCAGGATTCAGGTTCTGGTTCTCTCACCAAAAGCTGGACCACATCACTGAACTGCCATCGGCCTCGGTGACCTCGCGTGGTGCTTGAGATTCCTCCCAGTTTTAAGTGTCTGAGCTTGAGCTCAGCGGCTGATGTTTCCATTCTATAAGACAGCAACGGTTCCTGTTCTCTGTGGAAAGGAAACAAGTTCTTGAGAGAAATGGTTCTGTAAATAATGTTACAATATTACAGGAAAGGAAATAGGGCTGTAGCTTCTTCCTAAAGAGATGAAAAATACCATCATGCTCTCCAAAGATTTTCATAGGAGAAACAAAATCTGAAACGGTTCATGTTTTCAGTTTTACTTGGAAGCTTTGGGCTCGAAGGATAATTTAACACCATCTAGCTTATTTTCTCAAGAGGAAATGGAATTGAAATATNCAAGAAGGCTAAACGACTACCTGCAACTTGGGCTCGAAGGATCATTTAACACCATCTAGCTTATTTTCTCAAGAGGAAATGGAATTGAAATATGACAGTTTGCCTTTCTATTTTTCTATCCCCTAAAGCTTACCTGTGATTCCACTTGGCACATGAAGACTATTATCTTAATAAAACTTCCCTTCCTACAATTGGGAAACACTTTTTAAAAGCACTTAACGCATTAAGTCATGTAATCTGAACAAGGCAGAATATTAGCAAGTCAGTAGTTATTCTCCAGTTTTGCATACAAAGAAATGAAAACACAGAAAAAACATAAGAGCTTACCCCAGACCCCGTAGACACCAGATTCTGGGCTTCCAGACTTCCAGGGCTGCATTGGAAATGGGATGCAAGAGCACTCAGAAGACCAGAAGCACTGTGCTGAGTCCAAGTATTGTACTTGTGCAATCTCAGCATGGGTTTGGATTGTTTTATCAGTTGTTTAAAAGAGAAAATTACTTCCGATTGCATTGCTGGTTATAAGATGGTTTTAAAGTACTTAACATCTATAATTGTTCCTATAAACACAGATTTCATGTGGCCCAGTCACAAACTGGCACTCGTTCCTTTCATTTTCTTTATTAACAAAAAGTTGTGGTCTATTTAAAGTGAGTCTTGATGAGCCAGCCT